GCATCGGTCAGCGGGTGGTGAGCAATTGCATCGTGCATCACTTGCTTTGTATATTCTATTATTATTATTTTATTTCATTAAACTGTTTTTCTCAACCCACGAGTTTTCTCACTTTTACTCTTTTGATTCTCTCCCCCATCCCACCAGGGGGGCGGGGGGAGGGAGAGTGAGCAAGCGGCTGTGTGGTGCTCAGTTGCTGGCTGAGGTTAAACCACAACAGATTAGTAACTTCCAAAAGTGTTTGTTCCTGTGGTTTTTTAAAGTGGTTTACATTCTATTTAGTGGGTGCCCAATACTCTTTGAAAAATAGGTTCTTTTTTAAAGTATGTCCACATTAGCCTTTTCTGACACTGAAACAAAGAATACCATCTAGCTTTTAAATGTTCAGTATTAATATTTACTAGTATTTTAATTATAAAAGAAAAATGGATTGTTAATTGCATAAAACAGTACCCTGAAATTACATCTTCTCTACCTCCTAACAGAACAGCTTATTTCAAATTTCCTATTTGTCATCTTAAATATGTAAATGTTCTTGCCACATTTAGAGAGACATCAGGGCAGAGTTAGATGCAGGTGGTGTTTCAGACAGAGTTAGAAATACAGAGACATTGCTGAAGGCAACATAAGAAGCAGCTAGGTAGATGATATTCATGCAAAAAACAAAAGGATTTTGATTTTTTTCCATATGTAATTTGAAATGAAAGACACAGATTAAGATCTTTCATTTTTTATCCTTTCCCAGGAAAATAATTTAAATCTTATCTTGGGAGGGGGATTCATTAGAATTTTTTGCTTCAATGACTCCATAAAAAAAATGAAATTATTAAAATGCAGATGTGCCTCTCAGCTGTTTCTAGGAACAAAATAGTTTGACACTGGAATGTAGTACTGCTGAAGTGTTTTCCTACATGTGTTTGAAAGACGTGCATCCCCAAGGTGACTAGGTTAAGGTATACGCTATGTTTGTGATACCATTCATCCTATCTCCGGCTTGTATCTAAGAATAACATTTATGAGCTTGAAAGCCAGGCATGTTTTTTAAAGTCAGAAATGAAGGCAGCAAAAGAACAGCACCACTTGCATTTTTGTTTGTAGTCCCTACTCATATTCTTGGCTTCAAACAGTTTGCAGAAGACCACATTTTGAGAAAGTGCAATGAAGAAATGCCTGTTGCCAGCCTAATATTCAGTCTTTTCCTTAAATCCTGCTGTTTACCCAAGGTGCAGCGAGGTCAGGGAGGCAAAGAGGAAGTATACAATACAAAATTAACTCCCGCCCCTGACAACCAGAGGCTGCAGAGTGTGCTTGAAGGTAAAAGGCTGTAGAGTAGCTATTTCAAATTAGAAATGTGTGATCTGTGTATCTCCCTGGAACTTAGATGGCATATGTCTTTTCATAGTTTATTAATTTAAATGCACGGTTGTGCCTTAGCCTGTCCCCACTGAGTGGATTTGAGAGGGCAGTCACTGTGAAGAGAGAGATAGCTGTCGCTCCTGGAGCAAACCTACTGTGCAGCTCTGCTAAGCTTCTGACTTCACAACACTGCAGATAAGTTTTTCTCTCTCCAGTATTACTACCTTAATCCACCAAATCAGTTCACTTATCTGAGAGCAGTGTTTTGTAGAGGTTGAGACCGTGGGAGCTGATCCTGCCACATGGACTTCTGCAGCCACACAGAGTCCAGTTGGACTTTCCAACTTTGCATAAGGCTGGAGCCTCCGCTTGCTGGAGCCGAGGCCTGAGCCAGGATCATAGCATCCTTATATAATACAACTGTCAAGGTTTTGCAGTGTTCTTGGATAAGCTAACCACATAAGGCCTGAATAAGTTTACTCCAGTTTGGATGAATTACCCAGGTTCTTACGGAGTTACTACTTTTAATAGACAAACAGGCCTCTCATTAGGACAGAGAAAGAACCAGCATTAATTAATTCTAACCATGATATAAAATAATTTCGTCAGCTAGGGTTTAAGTCCCTTTCCATTATCTGCTTCAGTACATAACCTTGATGTTAGAAGGCTTTCTGAGCACTGACTTCTTTGGGGCTTTCATAAAGACTGCCAGCAAAGGAAGGAGATGTACTAGCTCGATTCAGACAAAGAAGAATCTGCTTAGCCTCACTGTACCTGGTTTGTTACACAGTTTTTCCTACAACCTGTCCTAAAGCGTTTTTAATCACACCCACAGATAAAGCTCAATATGAAACTGTAATATAAGAACATGTTAATAACTTTAGCAGAGCTGTAACCGTCATCAGCTTTGCCAGCAACATCAGTTGATGCTCCTGAATAAAAATCAACGCCCGGCAGGGTGGCAGAGCCTCTGCAGGCATGCAGCTCCATCGCCTGTGCCCCTTGCTTTGCCACGTACAGGAGGTCAGCTTGGATTTCCTGCTCGTGCTCACTCACAAAACGTTCATGTCAAGCTGTCTGCCATTTCTAATTTCCTCTTATCTCTTGCTCCAACTAGTAAAAAAAAAAAGCATAGTTGCACTGTTCCTAATATTTCAGCAAAAAAGGCAGATGACATCGAGCTATCATAGGTTGAGAGAGTTAGTTGGTGTGCTCGCTTGATAGTGGTTAATTTGTCACAATCCCTTTCTCCTATCTACAACTCAGCCAAGGAAACAAGCACAAGCTAGAGCAGTGCTCTCTGGGGGAGATATCAGCAACCATTCCATTTCCTAGGAAGAGTGACTCCAGTAAACGCAACCAATTTCCACCCTCCTAAATTTCAAAGAAAGGAAATGTAAAGGATAGCTCTATTCCTGTAAGGGGGGAAAGAGAAAAAACTTGTAGGAAAAGGCAGCTCTCAATTTTCTCCTTTTTATATTTGATTTGCTAATATTGTGATTGCACTTCTAGCTCTTTAGTGCCTATCTGAAGGAGCTGAAAGCACACAAGGAAGAAACTCTCTCAGTATAGTTCTTTTTTATTCATTTTAATGCTCTCTAAATTCAAGAGGACAGACAGACATTATGAACAACCCTTCACTCACTACTTCCATGACAAAAAACCCTATTATTCTCTCTTTCAGTACAACTCAAATGCATTCTGAAGTTATTATAAAGAGAACAATTCTGCAAGATAACTAATATTCCCAGGCTCCCACTGAAATTAACAGAGTATTTTGGCATTAGGAAGTTTGCCGCGTCAGACCGTCATTAAAGATCTCCAAATCTGCCTTGTAGTTTTTTCTATTCCTGAAGTATTCATTTCAGTGTATTCCAAAATAACCATCAATATTCTCAGGAGCTGTGCTCCATGTTGCTGCTAAGAAGTGAAAAGAAAATTCAAGTTAGCTTAAGCATTTTTAAAAAGCACAAAGGAGGAAAGAAAAACATAAATTCACATGGGTGGGAAAAAAGCAGATCATCTGTTGGTAAAAACATATGGAAAAACATTTCAAATATTTTAGAATTATACTAAAACCAGAATTTATAGTATCCCTTCACAATTAAAAAAAAGTAGGATCCCCATTACATAATTTTTCAGTCCTTTGTTTCTCAGTTTTGCATACTTACAGGTCTGGCAGTGATTCTCTGTGGGTCCCCAGCAACGGCCTGTGCAGGACTTGTGGCATCGGCCACCTGCAGGACAGACAGAAAGAGAGAGAGATTAGAAATGTGGCTTCCTTTCATTTCTTCAACACCCAGCAACTGCTGAAGAGGAGGGCCCACCTTGCCTTTGGAGGGTTTTTATGCTTTACCAAGGTTGAAACAGTGCCTGTAAAAAAGGCCCAGATAAATAGCCAGAATTAGTGTCAAACATATATGAAATATGGCTACTTATCTAAGTGCTTTATACCCTAAATAGCTCTCTGCTATGTATAATGACTGGGACATTTTAAAACAAAAAAAGATGAACAAGTCTGGAGGACTGAGGAACAATTTCATCACCCAGTGCTATTACTATTGCTATGGCCTACGTAAGACCCATTCACATTCCTCCACAGGAGAAGAGATGTCTGTGCTAGAGAGGATATCTATCTATCTATCATTCAATTTCATCTGAACAATGGGGTGATACACTCAATGCCTTCGATTAAAAGCCACCCCTCACCCCCAAAAGCTTGCATAGTCTTCATGTCCAATATCATGGTAAAGGAAATGTGCCCTGTGCAACCACTCAACCCCAGCGACAGCTAAGCTCACAGGACCTTTCCTTTTCTGGCTGCTGGTTCTCTAGTTGTCTGCGGTTGTGCTTCTGAAGGAACCTCATGTACCTTCAGAACCTAGAGGTGATGCTCTACACCGTCCTTCCACACGCTGATAGGTTTAGTCCCTCGAGAAAAGGAACTGTAGGTGCTTTCATTGTAAAATACAGATGGAGTAGGAAGAGTTAGCAATGGTAGCTTTTATAAACTACCTAGTAATCAGTGACTGAAACCCGCTTGGACTGAAAAGGGAGTTGAGTTCACATCTTCCACTTCATAGCTAAATGCTGACCACTGTGCGAGGAAATGGGAATCAGGCAGAAGAACTGGCACATTCTCCTCTGGCTGCATCTTACGTTATTTGAGAAAACACTCGGACAGTCCCACGCCAGTCCTGACTGTGAGCAAATGCAGACTTCATTCCGCAGCTTCCATCCACATGTGGCCAGAGCTCAGTCACCCTCCTGCTCTTAGTGCTTCTCCCTCCTGAATGCTGAATGCTCCCAGAGCACACACGGAGAGCCTGCTTTACTGCACCCTGAGCCACAGCTGCTAAAACACAGGTGGCAGTGCCTGAGGTGTAGGTAGCCAAGCCCTTTACACCCAGCCAGACCTGAAGGGATGAACTGAGAAACCCAACATAAGCATTGTTGAAGACTATGCACAGTCCTTATCACTGCTCTTTTGACCACAGGAACCTAATCTCGTCTTTGATGAAACTTTTATTCATCGCTGAATACTGCTGAGATTCTATTAAGCAAATTTCCCCTTTGAACCTGATCCAGAAGCTTACCTTTCAATCCTGTATTAACAGCAGCTGCTGTTAACACTGCTCCATTACACTAAATCAAACACTTCCCACACGCCCTGATGGGAGATAGCATAGGAGAAAATGCAAACTGTCTCTCAGCAAAGGCTGGATCATCCCAAAAGAAAACACCGCTCCTCTGCTAGCAGTGTGCTTATACCTATGAGACATTATACAGTTGAGCAAACCCACTGTGATAGTTGTGTAAAGTCGGACTTTCTCTCATTACATTTTCAAAGCTAGCGTTCTTCCCTCAGCACTCGCACAGCATTCACGGCACTATTGATGATGTTGTATGGTAATTACCACACTGTATGCCAACTACCTTGTTAAAACTACCATCTCCTTGCTGCATTCATGTTCATTTAAAGCAATTATACTCGGGAAGCGTTGTTGCTGACATCACCAGCACATAATTTGCTGTCACATTCTGCCATCTGTTTATTTAGATCACAAATGTACTATAACTACATAATGCAAACTCATTCTGGCTGACAGGGAGGGGACTCCATCTGGCATGAATAATGCAACTTTAATCAGTAATAATGATTATTATGATTATTAAGAGACTACTGGAACCCTGTGTAGAAAGCAAATACATCCATATCGATTTATAAGAATGCAAGTTTAAAAAGAAGGCGAGGGAAACAGCAAATTAAAGGAAGAATTTTAACAGAGGAGACTCAGTAAGATACAGTTTGTTTGTTGGCTTTGGTGCTCACCCAACTGAATAAAAATGATCCCCAGGAAGTGGGTTTTATAAACTGGCTATCCCTGACCAACAGAAGAAGTGGGAAGGAGAAAGGGTAGGGCCTCGGATGTACGTTCAAATAACCTCTTCACCACTTGCGTTGCTTGGTCCTCACCTAAGCAGGAACATCCCTGCTGGGGGCAGCTGGGGAGGAACCACAACCCATGGACAACAGAGCCTCCTCTTGCAAGACTATTTTACGCCCAATCCTTCCTTGCCATCAAATCTCATGCCTGTCTAGCTTAGGGGGTCTGGAGTTTAGGGAGAAAGCCAGAAGTCTTGCAGCTAGATGCAGTATAAAGCACTGCACGGATCACTTGTAACCACATATACCTGAGGCAGAACAAGGCACCAGCTTGGCTGTTTCTTCCTCTTTCTGTCCCTGGATTCTACCCCTTTCCAAAACATATTGTATGTACTGCAGTACGTGCAGTGAGATAACACAGAAGAATCTTCAAGCACCCCTCCAAGTGATCTCTAACTAGACATGCCGCCCACACTTCTGCAAAAGCTACACTTAAAACAAAAATCTTCATATTTGAAACTCCTAGGTGCTGAGCTGACCCTTGGTACACAACCAAGAACGTATTCAGCCAACTCTACTCCTCCTGGAAATAAAAGTGATCCAGCATCTTCAAAAATAATTTAAATTTTTTTTTTAACTTGCACGCCTGCTTCCTGGTACATGACTTTGGCAGTGTCAGATGATAATTTGCATTTAAATAGAGATATTTAACAATATAGCAAGAAAAGGCTGACAGTTTTCTTTTTTTCTCATTGGGAACTCAAAGTATCTGCTGCTTTGTTTTCACTTTTCTCAGCTGCACAGACACAACAAGCTTGTGAGCTTGTAGGCAGCACACCTCTGAATTGCATTGTTACATGTCCTTTTGAAGGTCAGATATACCGAGAATTAAAAACAAAACCCAAACTCCCTCCAAATAGTGTGTCTATATTGGTTTGTTTGTTTAAAAAGAAAAATAACTTTCTTTGCCCTCAGTATGAAATGGTCCAGATTCTGCCCTCACGTAACTCAGTATTTCACCTCTTTTTCCCCACTGTAATAAGGACAGATTGCTACCCATTAAAGATCAGCTCTGTAAATCTAACACAAAAATAGTCCCGTGGAAGTCAACATAAGTAGCCAGGAGCATTCATGTGAGGAATAGGTCTCACAATTAGATATGTATGTCAGGCTTAAACGATAGTAAATCTATCAGCCCCAAGACTGACGAGGTCCTTGAAATAATTTTACTACTTCTCGCAGATCTTTCTGTATATATTTCTTAGGATTTTTAGATTGTAGTGAGCCAGCAGATTTGAGAAAAAATTATCAAACAATTATTGGCATAAAATAAATTATTCCCGTTATTCTTTGTCTCTCTAAAATATTCTAAAACCCTCCAACATACAGCAGTAAGGGCTAAAAGAAACAGCTAATGAAGAAATGGCAAACCATGAAACTGCAGAAGTGTTCTTCCTTTTGTTTTGATGCAGCAGAGAGTAAAGAGGTAGAACTCCTTCCTATGACTTCCTCCACTGGTTCTTGACATCAAAAGATGCTGAGTGACCTAAAGTCCTGGTGGCAATCGGTGGGACCTAGGAACACTCAGCTGCAGTGAAACAGCCCATCTATAACAAGTCATCATATATGTTCTCATTGAAATCAAACAGTGATTCAAGATTTAGCTGGAATTTGGCCAAAAAAAAATTTCTGCAGGGCTCTACCTTGTAAGCGCTACCTTGCCCATTCACTTAATTCTTGCACGTTAGTGAAGACACATAAGAAAAAAGGGTGTTTTTCTTTTCTAAATGAGATATGGAGAGGAAGAACCTGGAAAAGTCTCCTGCCTCATTACAAATGTGACGCTAGAGTACATTTCCGCTCCTGAATGGTAGCATTGTTTTGCATACATGATGCCATTTTATTCATTAGATTGCAGAGGAGGAGGGAAGGAGTTAAAAGGAGGCTTACATAATTTTTACAGGGTTTGTTATGAAATCTAAGTTTAGAAAGGTCAGATTCCCACTGGAACATGAGAATTAATTTTACTTTGGCAAATTCCACGCAGAAAACCGATGGCTCGTCTCCTGGGCTCGTCTTCCCTTAGCCAATACTACCACAACAGATCTTCATTATGGACTCTGGTGCAGAGTATCATTGTTGCAACTTCCAGGATAGAGTTTTATTTGTGGGAGATGCTTCTGCTCTCCCAGCCAGGGAAAGTCACCAGCAGAAAACATTTGCTCAGTAGCTTGGGAAAGACCAAGGTTACTTCATCCTTGTGCTTTCCTGAGAATTGAGAAGGGCTTTCCTTTGGCTCCAGACTGACTTTATTATTTCAGGAACAGTAAAACTGCAAAGGATTAAGTTACTGACAAGACAAGAAAAATGAAGTCCTACTCTTAGCTCTAAGCTCAGTGTAGTACAGAGAAGAAACACTGCTGCTTCCCCATCAGCTATGCCAGCTGCCTCAAGCAGACCTCTCTCAGCAGGGGAAGGAAAACAGAAATAAGAGAAGAAATGGTCTCACTTTGCACAAAGCTTGCATTTACAGATGGTTTCTAACAGGTTAATAAATCATTAATAAATGTTAGCATATCTGCAACACACTGATACTGAAGTGCGAATGAACACAGCCAAAATAAAGTGGCTTTGATGGTTACAAGCCATGGTTTTAAGCAGCCTCTTTACTTACCTAACAGTCTAAAATAATTGATTAACTATCAAAACATCTATAAATCATTTATTAGCTTCTGTAAGCTACTTATAAACTCATCCTTCACCTAAAAAATTCACTCCTGCAAAAATGCTAGAGATGTCATATAGATGTTTCTAGACATAACTAGCCCTAAGATCCAAGAAGTTCCAGGT